CACTACCTATTTTCACATATGGACCGGTTTCCTGAGAACCTGGGTTCAATGAGTGACGAGCAGGGGGAGAGATTCCATCAGGACATGAAAGAGATGGAGACCAGGTATCAGGGTCGCTGGGACGCAGTCATGATGGCTGACTACTGTTGGACTCTGAAGAGAGACCTCCCTGCCGCTGAGCATTCCAGGAGTTCCAAGAAACGGAAGTTCAAGCCCTGAAGTTTGAAAAATGGTGAAGCAACGTGCAATTTATGTATTCTTACCTTTATCAATGCCCAGCATTCAGTTTACAGTAATCGATGTTTCTATCAGGTAATCAATATATGTTCTTGGAAAAACATTATTTTCTCTTAAAAACATATTTAGGATGATATGTGTTGACAAAAATCAGCTGATAATGCCACAAAATGTAATCGATTTTGTCACAAGATCTGATTTTTTACAAATCAACATAGCACAACAACCTGACCTGATGGAGAGAAACGGATGCCATTTCCTGATTCAGCAGTGCAAAAAGACCCTAAATCAATTGTAGAAATCTAGACAACATTCAAAAGGTAAAAAATTGTTGCCCAGTGTATAATTTAACATCTTTTGGGGGCAATTCCAAACCTGTTATTCCAAGAAGAAAGGCCTCTGGTTTCTTTATAATGTATATTTCAACATTTTTTTCAATTCATTATAAATCTTTTCCCAGAAGTCTTTCACCTTGGGGCAGGTCCACCACATATGATAGAAAGTACCTTCATTTTCTTTACATTTCCAGCAATGGTTATCACAGTTATGATAAATCTTTGCTAATTTAACTGGGGTCGGGTACCATCTATACATCATTTTCATTATGTTTTCCTTTAGTACAGTACATGCAGTGAACTTGACCCCTTTCTTCCACTATCTTTCCCAATCCTCAAACATTATGTTATGTCCTACATGTCTTGCCCAATCTATCATCACTGATTTAACTTGTTCATCCTTCGTATGCCACTCTAACAATGGGAAGTGTAGTGTTTTCAAAGCCCCCCCCCCAATGTTGCAGGGGGCATTCTCTGGGTGTTTGGTGCTGCTTTGGAGTGAATCAGATGACATTGGACCTTTGGAGAAATCGTGACCCTGTGGGTTAGGGCACTGAAGCCTCATTTGGGGGGGGCGCCATAAAACGTGGGGTTTTCACTGCCATGGATCACAAAACAGCTGCTGTTTTGTACAAAGCTGGTAGATTGAGAAACTAGTATTTTATTTTTATTTTTTTAAAAATAAACTAAAGGTGTGTGCTTACAGGTAAACAGATACCAGTGTGCATGCCCATTATGACCTCAGGCAAGAATCAAGAAAATACAGGTGGTCCCTCTTAACTGACATTCTGAACTGAACAGAACTGAAGGGAGGGGCTGGTTCTGGAGCAAAGCTGTTTAGATTGGGTTTGGGTGGATGCGAAGAGGATGCCTCAAACTTCTTGGGCTTTGCTTCTCAACTTATTCTGCCTTCTGGGACCCCCCAGCCCAAGACCAACCACCTCTTGGATAGGTGAGCATGCAGATATTTTGGAATGTGAGTGTGGGGCAGGATGACCGCGTATGAAAGCTCATTTGAGCACAAGTGCTGGCCCCCCTTTTCTCTCCCATGGAGGCCCTGAACTGGCCAGCTCCTGGGCAGGGCCTCCAAGGGAGAGAAAAGGGAACCTCAGTTACTCTTTGCCTTCTGAGGACAATGTCTCACTCCCAGAGCCCCAAGACTTACGGCTGCTGCTCTATCAGCCTCAGGACATCCAAGGGATCGTGAGCAAAGCACACAAGCCCTGCCCGCCAGATGTGAAGCACTCTACGGAGAGAATTTGGGTTTTTTAACTGGCTGAACAGAGTTTCAGCCCTTGGGGAATTTGATTTCTTAAACATACACCTTCCCCTTCCCTGTGTCCCTGGGGAGAAAAGCCAATCCTGCTTTCTTCCTTTGGTAATTTAATCAGAGGAAATAACTCTTTCAGTGGTCTAATAGATTTGCTGAATCATGAATTCTGTACATGCACAGAGGCTATACCTCTTGAAACCCCAAAGATGGGCAAGATGGGGCATTTCTCTCCACCTGGCTCCACCGGATATTGCTGATGGCCAATGAAAGCCCAAGTAGGGATTCCTAGTGGGGGATGTTGCTGTGGTATAGTGGAGGAGCAGGGCCAGGAGGCTAACTTGGACACCTGAGAACACAAAAAAGCAGCAGCAAAACAACTACATGTTTCCTTTTAAATGGGCCTTCCTGCTGAGTGTAAAGCATAGATCCTCATTTTTTAAGGGAAAAGGGAGAGAAGGCTTCTCCCAAAGTGTTAGAAGGCCACAAATAAAGTAACAATAGAACAAAACAAATGTGCCGTTTCATGTGATACAGAATCCTATGTGCAAATCTGTTAGATTGAGAAATTTGTACTAAATAAGAAAATAAAAATAAAGGTGTGTGCTTGCAGGTAAACAGATTGGAGATTTTCTGCAAGATCTTGTGAGATCTCATTGAAGTCTTGCAAGATGTCTAGGAGAGCAAAATATGCATTGAGATTTGGGAGAGATCTTGCATGCTCTTTCAGGGACCAAAGCCATCACTGCTGCAGCGCCAAAGGCAGGTGGCTAAGGGGTGGTGAGTGTCCCACGGGGCGAAATGGGATGTACCCCCCCTCAAGCTCAGGATTCCAGAACTAACAACTGTCAGTTGGGAGGGACGGAAGGCAAGGACCCACAGCCCAGAAGCTATAACTGGAAAGCTGTCCTGGCCAGGCCTGTGTCCTTTGGCTCCAGTTGGGAGTGAAACGGATGACGTCTGATTTTTGGCGAAATATTTTTTTTAAAAAAAATTATGATTTTCAAGTTTATACATTTCAATAATTTTGCAGTCATTTTAACATTTCAAAACTTGACTTCCTTCCCCCTCTTTCTGCAGTTCCTTAAATTGATTCTTCATATCTTATGCATATCCAAATTACCTCAATTTCTTCATTTATGCATCTGCTTTAAATATATAATCTTATTAAACTGCAGGTTATTCCAATAATCCTGCCAATGTTCTTATCTGTTTACAGTTTGTAACTATTCATTAAACCATTTCCGTTCTTTAATAAAAAGTTTGTTCTCTTGCTCCTAGAAACGGTCAGCGTGTGACAGAGGCCACATCCTGGGAACGGTTTGACTGGCCACCTAAACCAGGTGAGGGCAGCCAAGGAGTCTCAAATGCTCAGGAACTTCCCCTGTGTGCAAAGACGGGCTCCAGCAGATTGAGCGGACAAGACCAAGCGTGGGCCCAGTGGTCAAGAAGGTGGTTTCTGCAATGCTGTGGAGGGAAGTGAGGGGCAGATGGGGCTCATTCACCTATAAAGATAGCCCATCAAGGAGAAGGAAAACTCTGATCCTAATTTGCCTTGTGGGATATCTTTGGGAGCTGAAAAGGCTAAGGAGTAAAGCCTACACAAATCTGGAGTGGAGTCCCTCAGGCGGTTGGATGGCGCCGTTTACAACCCCTTCTGACAACTCCTGCAGCCCAACTGGTGCCTAACTCTGCTTTCCTTGGAGACACATCTGCAAAGCCAAGAGAGGGAGTCTTGTCATCTGGGAAGCCCAGGACCTCCAGACACACTGCCCAGTCTTGCTCCCTGGAGAGGTCACTTTGGGACTGCTGACACCGTTGCTTGACTTTTGACCTCACCCCCGGAGGCGCACTCCATTGCTTCTCAAGACAGACAAATGCCAACATTAAAAAACTATTTGAAAGAATTTTATTTCATTCACAAAAGACAATCTGGCATGTGATTAGGACAGTGGTTTTCAGACAACGGGTGACACGTTTATTGATCCAGTTTGGAAGTCTCTGTCTTGTCTTCGCACATGCGCAGTTCCATCTAGGAGCAACAACAAGGGAAGGAGCCAAACTGTCAACTCCTGCAGCGAGACTCAGGATTTCCACTCATGCTCACAAACGTAGGAAAAAGCACCGCCTAGGATAAAAGGATGATCACAGAATAGCATGTTTGTAAAGGAACTTGATTAGAATAATAATGATGATGATGATTTTTATTTTATTTTTCTATTTGGGTTTGTGGGGAAGGGGGGGACTGGGTCTTGGTGGGGAGGGAGATCTGTGCTGGAGTTGCTGGCCTCACTGCTGTCACTGCCCGGAAGAGAGAAGAAGAGAAAATATTTTTATCTTTCCATTGATTATTATGTTGACAACCCATCTTTCCTTCAAGGATCTCCAGGTGGCTTACGCTATTCTCCCTTTCTTTAATTATATTTACTTCCTCATTCCGTTTCTCTTCCAATATCTCTTCCACCTCCTCCTCGCAGACCAGGGGGTGGATTTTAGGGGCACGACAGCAGGAGGCCAGCAGCTCGCACAGCCTGCCACACTGGCCATTCTCTCTTTCAACAGCCTTGGAGAACAACTGAGTAGGCATCTAGAGCGTCAACTGAACAGGCATGTGGATCAGCTAGTCACTGGGCACAGTCTATTCTTTTGGAGGGGGCTTTCCCCAGTTTCCATTTATAAGAAGTTTGAAAGGTTGCCTCTTTATAAAGTCTGTTTCCTTGTGACGAGAGACCACCCTGGAGACTCAGTGTTTTTGAAATATATCAAGGTAAAGGGACTCCTGACCATTAGGTCCAGTCGTGGCCGACTCTGGGGTTGCAGCGCTCATCTCGCTTTATTGGCGGACCGGTCATGAACACCTTCCAGGTCATGTGGCCAGCATGACTAAGCTGCTTCTGAACCAGAGCAGCGCACGGAAATGCCCTTTATCTTCCCGCATTACCTATTTATCTACTTGCCCTTTGACGTGCTTTCGAACTGCTAGGTTGGCAGGAGCAGGGACCGAGCAACAGGAGTTCACTCCGTCGTGGGGATTCGAACCGCTGACCTTCTGATAGGCAAGTCCTAGGCTCTGTGGTTTAACCCACAGCGCCACCCGCATCCCTATTATTTATTTATTTAGATACTTGGGTTTGGGGCGAAGGGAGAACTGGGTCTTGGAGCGGGGTAGAGCTGTACTGGAGCTGCTGGCCTCACTGCTATCACTGCCTGAAGAGAAATGAAGAGAAAAGATTCTTAATTTTTTCATTAATTACTACATTGATGACCCATCTTTCCTGCAAGGATCTCCAGGTGGCTTGCGTTATTCTCCCTTCCTCCCTTCCTCATCCCATCCCTGAACTCTTCTTGAATGAGGGAGCTGCCTCCCCCCACCCTCAGTGATCCAGATTCTCTCTGGCCTCCCTGTTCCTCCTGAACAAAGATCAACACTCACCATTGGTAGTAGCATCTGTGGTATCCATCCTCTGGTCCCTTGGCCTTACGTAGATCGTTCTCACCTTTACCCTTCTTTCCTTTCCATCCTTCATTACACTCACTGTGTCCTCCTCCTCACAGACCAGGGGATGGATTTTTGTGGCACGACAGCAGGAGACCAGCAGCTCACCCAGCCTTCTCAGACTGCAGAATCTAGAGAAGCAGAGGGAAAATAGTCAGGAAATGGGTTCTAGATGCTTCCTTGATACTCTTTATCTGGCAGATAAACCTACTTTCAGAAACCTCTCATGGCGATTGCAGCAAGCAGCTGAAACCAGAGAGGAGGGCATCTTGTCAAGAGACCCTCCAGAACTGGGAGATCCCTTTCTTGTGGTGATGCCCGCAAGGGAGAAGGCAAGCCATTTCCCTCAAAGGATCTAAGAGGGTCCTGAGGTCAATCTTTAAAAATTAATCTAACCATGATATGGTTCCTTATATATCTGAATCTTGAGGGATAGCAAATGAAGCAAAATGCAGGAAGAATAAGAGATCCTACGTATACACGAGATGAATAAATTTTCATTTTTCAGAAAACACAATTCACACCAACAACCTATTTTCTTTGAACTATCCTCAAATAGTTGCTCTTCCCAAAGTTGTCAGCCAAGTCAGTCAGCCGGAGAACGTGTCACAATGGAGGACATGACACCGTCACTTTAGCTACCTGGCTTTACAAGGGACATGGCTCCCTTTAATATTCATTTTTAAAAATATATATTTTAGTGGGTTAAGCAGTTTTGTTTAGTTTATTTTAAAAAGTTCGATACCTCTTCCTTTTCATGTAGCACAGTGATTTAGGCATTCTACTTACGCTTTAGATGAAGAAAGTCAATTCGTTGCGCTAAAAAACATGTTTGCTTCCTCAAAATCTTCCTCCTCTCGTCTGAACTATCCTCAAATAGTTTCTCATCCCAAAGTCCTCATCCCATCCCTGAATTCTTCTTGAATGAGGGAGCTGCCTCCCCGCTCCCCAGCGAGCGGGATTTTCTCTGGCCTCCCTGTTCCTGATGAACAAAGATCAACACTCCCCATCTAAATTGGTATCAGTGGCATCCATCCCCTGGTCACTTGGTCTTACATAAATTATTTTCACCTTCACTAAAGATTCCTTCTGATCTTCATAACCATCACTTCATCCTCCCATTTCTCTTCCAATATCTCTTCCTCCTCCTCCTCCTCACAGACCAGGGGATGGATCTTTGGCACGTGACAGCAGGAGACCAGCAGCTCACGCAGCCAATCTTTATAAACTAATTTAACCATGACATGGTTCCCTACGTTTCTGAATCTTGAGGGATAGTAAAAGAAACAGAATGCAGAAGGAATTAGGAATCCTACTTATACTTTAGATGAAGAAAGTCTCTTCATTACACCAGAAAACGTATTTCCTTTCTCACAAACTACCTCCTCAAACTAAATATGCTCATCTTTAATTTTATAGTCCCTCTCCTCTTTGGTCCAGTTCCGCCCCTCCTTTCGGCGCTTTTCTTTTCTTGATTCTCCAATTAGTCCAGCTGTTTCTCCTAGACCACACTACGCCATCTTTGCCATCTTTATAGGTTAGTGTTTAATCATAGAATCATAGAATCATAGAGTTGGAAGAGACCACAAGGGCCATCGAGTCCAACCCCCTGCCAAGCAGGAAACACCATCAGAGCACTTCTGACATATGGTTGTCAAGCCTCTGCTTAAAGACCTCCAAAGAAGGAGACTCCACCACACTCCTTGGCAGCAAATTCCACTGTCGAACAGCTCTTACTGTCAGGAAGTTCTTCCTAATGTTTAGGTGGAATCTTCTTTCTTGTAGTTTGGATCCATTGCTCCGTGTCCGCTTCTCTGGAGCAGCAGAAAACAGCCTTTCTCCCTCCTCTATGTGACATCCTTCTATATATTTGAACATGGCTATCATATCACCCCTTAACCTCCTCTTCTCCAGGCTAAACATGCCCAGCTCCCTTAGCCGTTCCTCATAAGGCATCATTTCCAGGCCTTTGACCATTTTGGTTGCCCTCCTCTGGACACGTTCCAGTTTGTCAGTGTCCTTCTTGAACTGTGGTGCCCAGAACTGGACACAGTACTCCAGGTGAGGTCTGACCAGAGCATAAGTTCAATATTAAAAGTGTTGCCTTCTCTTTTACCTTTGTTTCCCAGTAACTTCCACTCTTTTACCACAAACAGCGCTGGCAATCCAAGTCTTTTAACTCAGTCTCTTTCGCTGGGCTCACACCACTTCAAAGTAAAAAACAAGTTAAGTCCTTGAATTCCGCTTCTTTTAATGGGCTACTACTGCTGCTGCAGAGTGAAATTTGAATCTGTCTTCCTTTTCTTACTGGTACTTGTTAGAGAAATCTTTGCTTATGGTTACATATCATGAGAAAGATTTCCAATATGTTTAAGATAAAATCTCCCGTTCTTTACTCTTTATGTGCTAGCCTTTCGGGTCTGTTTCTGAGCAGTTCAGTTCAGTTTGTATAAATAAGTCTCACAGACCCTCTTCTCCTCAAGCTCTCCTTGTTAGCTGCCATTCTTACCGTTTGGGACTTTGAGGCTTGCTGCTGAGGATTGCTCATGTCCTTGCGTCTAGGTACTCTCTGTCGACTCACCTCCTGGTTAGGACGTGGGCTTCGAAGGGTTCCTTTTTTGACGCTGCCGGACAATGTCTTTTTAATAAATTTTTATTGAATTTCCAAATTTTTATAGACAAAACAAACATACAAAAACAAAGACAAAACATGTAAAATTTCATATCCTTGCCTCATTAACTACTTCCCCTGACTTCCCCCCACCCCCCCTCTTACATCCCTATTCCAAAAGTTGGTTCAGCAAGTCCTTATCTCTCATCCTTACAAACTTATTGTTCTTCTTCTTCTTAACTTCATTCTTGATTAAATCATTTTTATCTTATGCCAATTTCTTCTAATTCTTTTACCTTTTTCTAAGGTCGACCCCTTCCCCCCCCCACAGATTTCCCATTTTTTCATTCAAAGTTATTTCTATTATCTAAACACACAGATCATTAAAAAATTTTAAGATTCTGCCCTCACCCCCCCCTTCCCCAGTTTCAGTCCCCTTCCAAAAGGAATGTCCACAAAAAGACAATTTCTAGCCTGGATTTCTCACATCCGAGGCCCTCAAGTCTCTGTCCATCTCTCTCCGCCGGGTTTGTTGGTAGTCATTTATGTTGATCATCAGGTCACGAAGGAGCTCTGGCACAATAAAATCGAGGTACCTTCCAACCTGCTTTCCACATCCAAGAGAGAGGCCCCAATCGTATTTCTTGTTTCTTTTGAGTCCAAATATTTCAGATATTCCAGGGGCTCCCTCTCCCATCTCAAGCAAATTCATAATCCATAAATCTTCTTCTTTATATTCCACAGATGTAAATTTCTGGTTGGTACTTTCTGCCTGTATTTTTTCCACTCCTTCTTCCCTCTCTTCTGGTTCCAAAGATGTCTCTTCCAATTCAGCTGCAGGATTTTTTTCCAACAAGTCCTCCACACAGTCGGCAGTATTGCTTATTTTAGGATTCAAGGTCGATAGTTTCGTAGCCATAACTGTGCTCCGGTCTTGTAATATTCCCACGAGAAAGAACATCCTTTCAATCTCCGCCTGTAATTTTCCATCTGCAGCCATTGTAATGTCTCAGAATTCCCCCTAGAGGGATTCTGGATACTTAGTAGTCCTTCTCCAACAGTCTTTTACTTTGTTATTTATTCCTTCTTTGTTTCCACCAACTTATACTCAAATGTAACAAAATTAGTCCGCAGATACAAGTTATAACAAATTTTCTAACGGTTCGTTTGACAGCCCTTTGACAGCTGTCAAACTCCCTGCTTCTCTCCAACAGCTCTCATTCACGGGACGCTCCCGGGTCCGGGGGGGGCTACACAAAGACTTCAAAAAATTCTTTTTTCCGACTCAAAATGTATAACTTTTAATGTCAATCTTGGAGTTAATGTCCTTTATCTCACAAAGAGGAAAACAATCATTCCACCTTCGGTTTTTGCTTTAAATCGTCTGTAATAGAAGGGGGTGCGGACTTCCTTTTAACACATCCCCCGGTCGTATCTAATTCAAAAAGGTAAATTTCTTAAGTCCAAATTCTGTTTTACTCACGGGTTGCTTCTTTTCAAGTCCAAATTTCAAGGAAGGAAATCAGCGCTCTCCGGTCATGGCTCGCGGCTTCACTCCACCGAGGTAGCAGTCGACTCACAGTGCCACGCCACCCCCGTACCCTCTCCGCAGCCTTTAAAAAGGCTCCTCGTGAGTCGGGGGCGCTTGAAGGCGCCCGCTGAGTCTCCAGTCCGCAGGCTTCAGCGCCTGCGGTTTCTAAGGGTCCCCGCGTCGTCGCCGCGGCAGGACCCGTCCTCGATGGAGACGATTCCCTCCGGAGCTCGGAGGGAATCCGCCATTACCCGATCGCGCTAACCCGGAAGCCCCCCAAAGTACCCTCTAACAGCTGCTAGGCACGGAGAACCCGCGAAGCACATCCACAACAGAGGGCGGAAAAATCGGAAGCCCTTACATACCAGGTTTGGGAGGGGGATTTGGTCTGCGATAGGCTTTTTCCGTAGGGACACGGGTGGCCACAGAGCCTAGGGCTTGCTGATCAGAAGGTCGGCAGTTCGAATCCCCGCGACGGGTTGAGCTCCCGCTGCTCGGTCCCAGCACCTGCCAACCTAGCAGTTCGAAAGCACAAAGTGGAAGTAGATAAATACCGTATTTTTCGCTCTATAGGACACAATTTCCCCCCTCCAAAAATTAAGGGGAAATGATCAAAGCAGCAGAAATAAGAGATGATTGGATCCCTTTCTGAGCTCGAAGCATGGGTACCCCCAACCAAAATTTAAAATTCGGTTTTGTAATTTGGAACTAATGTGATTTGATTGGTTTGCTAATAAAAATTATTTTATAAAAAAAACAAAAATTAAGGGAAAATTTGTGTGCGCCCTATGGAGTGAATGCAGGCTGCGCAGCTAAGCCCAAAGCCAGAACAGGGAGAAGGAGCGCTGCGCAGCGCTCCGTCTCGCTGTTCTAGCTTGGGGTTAGCTGCGCAAAGCCTCCGCAGGGCAGCAGGGTGAAGGCCCCCTGCTGCCCTGCGAAGGCTTCAAAGGCCGTCCCCGAAGCCAGAACAGTGAGGCGGAGCACTGCGCAGCGCTCCGTCTCACTGTTCTAGCATGGGGATGGCTGCACAAAGCCTCCGCAGGACAGCGGGGTGCCTTCACCCCACTGCTCTGCAGAGGCTTCAAAGGCTGCACTCCGTTGGCTTCAGGCAGCTATCCGCAAGCTTTCGGAGCGCAGCAGGAGTTCCCGCTGTACTTCGAAGGCTTGCGGATAGCCGCCTGAAGTCACCTAGCAGTTCGAAAGTGGAAGTAGATAATACCGTATTTTTCACTCTATAGGACGCACTTTTTCCCCTCCCAAAATTAAGGGGAAATGATCAAAGCAGCAGAAATAAGAGATGATTGGATCCCTTTCTGAGCTCGAAGCATGGGTACCCCCAACCAAAATTTAAAATTCGGTTTTGTAATTTGGAACTAATGTGATTTGATTGGTTTGCTAATAAAAATTATTTTATTTAAAAAAATCAATTAAGGGGAAATGTGTGTGCGTCCTATGGAGTGAATGCAGGCTGCGCAGCTAAGCCCAAAGCCAGAGCAGGGAGAAGGAGCGCTGCGGAGCGCTCCGTCTCGCTGTTCTAGCTTGGGGTTAGCTGCGCAAAGCCTCCGCAGGGCAGCGGGGTGAAGGCACCCTGCCGCCCTGCGGAGGCTTCAAAGGCCGTCCCCGAAGCCAGAACAGTGAGGCGGAGCACTGCGCGGCGCTCCGTCTCACTGTTCTAGCTTGGGGATGGCTGCACAAAGCCTCCGCAGGGCAGCGGGGTGCCTTCACCCCGCTGCTCTGTGGAGGCTTCAAAGGCTGCGCTCTGGGGGCTTCAGGCAGCTATCCGCAAGCCTTCCAAGCGCAGCAGGAGTTCCCGCTGCACTCAGAAGGCTTGCGGATAGCCGCCTGAAGCCTGGAGAGCGAGAGGGGTCGGTGCACACCGATCCCTCTCGCTCTCCAGGCTACGCTTCGCTGGAGAGGCGCTGCACAGTTTTCCCTCTCTGCGCAGCGCCCCTTCAGCGAAGCGGGAGGAGAAATGGAAGGGGCTCCGTTTCTCCTGCCGCTTCGCTGAAGGGACACTGAGCAGAGAGGGAGAGAATTTTTTTCCCCCTGTTCTCCCCCTCCTATGATCCGGTGCGTCTTATGGTCCGGTGCGTCCTATAGAGCGAAAAATACGGTAGGTGCCGTTCTGTCGGGAAGGTAAACAGCCTTTCCGTGCACTGCTCTGCTTTTGCCAGAAGCGGCTTCGTCATCCTGGCCACATGACCCGGAAGCTGTACGCCGGCTCCCTCAGCCTATAGAGCGAGATGAGCGCGCAACCCTAGAGTCGTCCGCGACTGGACCTAACGGTCAGGGGTACCTGTACCTTTACCTAGGCTTTTTCCAGATCTGCCTTACTGCCCTATGTTTCTAAATCTTGAGGGAGAGCAAAAGAAGCAGAATGCAGAAAGAATTAGACATCCTACTTACACTCAAGAAG